CGACTTCTCTCTTTGTTTTTGCTTCTGAAAACAACGTTGTAATGCATAGCTCAACAATATGCAATGCTTGTTTTACAGGTTGTAAACAAGTTGTTACAGCTGTACAAGACATTGCTCAGGCCACATTTGGAGAACTTATAGGAAGGATGTTACTAAACTGGAAAGGGTGCAAAAAAGATTTACAGGAATTTTACCAGGGCTGGAGGATTTGAGTTATGAGGAGAGGCTGGACAGGCTGAGACTTTTTTTTTCCCTGGAGTGTATGAGTTTGAGGAGCAACCTTTTGAGGGACATAGATAAGCCCAGGTCTTTTCCCCAGGCTAGGGGAGTTCAGTACTAGAGGGCATTGATTTGAGGAGAGAGGGGAAAAGTTTAAAAGGGACCTGAGAGGTGTGTATGTGGAACGAGCTGGTAGAGGCAGGTTCAGTTACAACATTCAAAAGACATTTGGACAGGTGCGTATATAGGAACTGCTGAGAGGGATATGGGCCAAATGCAGGCAAATGGAACTGGTTCTGTTTGAGAAACCTGGTTGGCATGGTCAAGTTGGGCTGGAGGGGTTATTTCCATGATGCTATGACTCTAAAACTTCCCAGTTTATCAGTTACGGTAGTCCAACATCTGCAGGTTTATAGTTATAAAAAAGAGTAGTCTCTTACACTGTCAGTGTTGTGCCTAGTTTAGCACTTAACAGGCTAACCCAGCTCAGATGAGTGATCTTTGTCTAGACTGAAGATTGATAGACTGGTGTAGATTAATACCATTGGTATTTAACACCATCAGGGACACAACCGCAATCACACAGTTTCCTAATATCCACTATATTCCCATACGTTAGTGCATTGAAAATTAGACATCAAGGCTGAACGTCTCCTTTTCAGGCCTTCAATATTTGCTGTCTAAATTATTCCCAAGAAACTACAGTCTCCAAGCAATCTGAACTGCAGCCAGGAAAGAACATTTTTATGCTTTGTAAGTGCAGCAGTCATAATTAATTTATCAGTGCAGCAAGTAGCAGAAAGTGATCCTGTTTTTTTGCTGTAGCACTTCATGAGTGCTTTATAATGCCTGCACGGAATTGAATTGGATATGCAGACCATGTTAACATTGCTCAGCTCCTGCAAGTGATTCTTGACCCATTTTAACATCCATTTATCTAAACTATTTCTCAAGCAACCTAACATTCACTATGCTCTTGTGTCTCATGAAGCCTTCTTTCATTTTCTTTCATCAGGAAAGATGCGAGACATGGCGATGTGAGACGATATGTCAAGACAAACAAAAATTAACGTTGTTTGGAAAAGTAGCAACTATTTTTTGAGTTTGAGTTGTTGCAATGGTACTCCCTCTCAAGCCGTGTCTCGCTGACCTAATAAGAATGCATGTCTGGCAACGTGCCTTATCTCAGAACTAGTCTGTCTGCATTCGCCTCCTTATACAGCACCTTCCAAACCCATGACTGCTATAATCTAGAAAGACAAGGGCAGCAGATACATGGGAACACCCATCTGTCAGTTCCTCTCCAAGCCACTGACCATCCTGACTCGGAAATGTATCACTGTTTCTACGGTGTCGCTGGGTCAAAATCCTGGAACTCTCTCCCTAAGGGCATTGTGGGTCTACTTCAGCAAATGGACAACAGCGGTTTGAGAAAGCAGCTCATCACCACCTTCTGAAGGGCAACTATGGACAAGCAACAAATGCTGGCCCGAGCCAGTGACAGCTATTCCTAAGTGCTAGTAAACAATTAGCCAGACCTGGTTATGGGTTTTTATAACTCTACCACTATGAAGAAGGAAGAGACGTTTATACCTATATAGTGCCATTCATTATATGGAGGGTGGTGGGAGAGGAGTATAAAATGCCACCTGTCTTCTGTCCCCACACCAGTTTTGCTCGCAGGAGGGTGGTATAGAGAGCCTGCCCGCCAATAGGCCAGTTTGATCCTACTTTACCCTCTCTCCGTGTTCTCATCCCATCATCATAGTACGTGATGCTGAATGCACTGACTCAAGTATCAACCCTTTTAGATCCTCTCAAACTCTCATACCCATTGCAACACATCTCCATCTTGTATGTGAAATAAGAGGTATGTTGTGGACCAGATTAGACCTCCCCAAAGTGCATTGTGGAGATAGTTTAGATCCTAACTTTAATATTTTTTGAAAAGGCATGTGTTCCAGATATGAGTCAATTGGCCCGCCACTAAACTCTAATCAAAACACACTTTATTCTTATCACATGGTTAAAATACAACAAAAAGAAGAATTGGCATAATTTTACTCTGTTGAAATACTTAACAAGGTTATATATTATTTAACCACTAATCATCAACTGTTCCAATATAGACAGCATCCCATAAACACACTAAGGTTTTGGAGTAGATCTGTAGCTCGGGTTGTGGGTGTTGAGGTTGGTTGGCTTGCTGAACTGGTTTGTTGTTCCGCAGACGTTTCATTACCGTGCTTGGTAACATCCTCAGTGCAGCCTCTGATGAAGCGTCGGTGTGTTTTCCCGTCTGGTTTTTAAACTCTGGGGTCTGTTGCGATGGATTGCCTCACTTCCAGGTTTCCTTCGTAGTGGAATGTATATGGGGTTGAGTTCAATGTGTTTATTAATAGCATGCTTCGTGGAGTGCCATGCTTCCAGGAATTCTTGTGCTTGTCTCTGCCTAGCCTGTCCCAGGATCTTGGTGTTGTTCCAGTTGAAGTCTTGGTTCTCCTTGTCCATGTGGATTGAGATGAGTGAGTATTGGTCGTGTCTTTTTGTAGCCAGCTGGTGTTCATATACCCCGTATGCATTCCACTACGGAGGAAACCCGGAATGAGGCAATCCATCGCAACGGACCCCAGAGTTTAAAAACCAGGCGGGAAAACACACCGACGCTTCATCAGAGGCTGCACTGAGGATGTTACCAAGCACGGTAACGAAATGTCTGCGGAACAACAAACGAGCTCGGTGAGCCAACCAACCACAACATAAACACACTCTTGACAAAGGCGGTTCAGCTACACAGTTGTTATTCTAAGCGCAATCTCTCTCCAGTCTAGTCGAAAGAAATACCAATGGAAGCACTTTGCCCCTTTTGATTTTTAAGAGGAAGCCTCTCTGTCTAAGAGTTCCCTCTAGCAGCAGAAATCTCAAGCTTTCAGCTCCAGCAACCAGCAAAAACCTACCCAATTAACTGGAAACAAAACTGAAGTCTTCTGGGTCTGTGTGAACCTGGCCCCATCAAGTTGTGATTCTTTTGCATTACTTAAAAAGACACCCAGGGAGAACTCAAAGCTGTTTACCAACTGACAGTCTGAAGTAGATATTTCGGCACAACTGTGACAACACCCCTCTGCAAGAGAAACAGGACTGAACATGTCTCTCATGTCAGGGGAGGCGATGGCCTAGTGGCATTATCGCTGGACTGTTAACCCAGAGACCCAGATAATGTTCTGGGGACCTGGGTTTGAATCCCGCCATGGCAGATGGTGGAATTTGAATTCAATAAATATCTGGAATTAAGAGTCAAATGATGACCGTGAATCCCTTGTCGAATGTCGGAAAAACCCATCTGGTTCACTAATGTCCTTCAGGAAAGGAAACTGCCATCCTTACCTGGTCTGGCCTACATGTGACTCCAGACCCACTGCAATGTGGTTGACTCTTAACTGCCCTCTGGGCAATAAATGCTGCCTAGCCAGCAATGCCCTCATCCCTTGAATGAATAAAGGAAAAAAAAATCTTAAAGGCACAGTATCATCACCGATATCCTTATTGAAACATACAAGATTTTCAGGGGACTTGATCGGGTTGATGAGGAGAGAATGTTTCCCTTTGTGGAAGAGCTAGGAACCAGAAGACATTGCTTCAGAAAAAGGAGTCACCTAAATAAAGAAAGAGATGAGGAGTAATTCCTTCTCTCAGAGGATAGTAAGTAAATGGAATTCTTTACCGCAGAAGGCTATAGAGGATGGTAATTTAAATATATTCAGGGTTGCGATAGACAAATTTTTAATTGGGAAGGGCATCAAAAGTTATGGAGAAAAGGCAGGAAAGTGGCTTTGAGGATTGTCAGATCAGCCGTAATCTCATTGAATAGCAGAGCAAACATCATGTGCTTCTGCTCCTACAGCTCATGGTCTTATCCATTATTCAGCAATTGTGTTCCCCTAGTTCTGGATTCTCCCACAAAGGGAAACTGCTCCTCAGCACTGCCCTGTCAAGTCTCCTCAGAATCTTCTGTTCCAGTAAGATCATCTCTCATTCATCTAAAAACCAGTGATTAAAAGCCCAACTTGGTCAAGCATTCCTGATTTTAAAAAAAATCTCCTCCATCCCAAAGTCAACCTAACAAATCTTCTCTGAATTGCTTTGAATGTGAATATGTTCAGGTAAAGGACACCAAAATGCACACTCCACATGTGATTTCATTGATGTCCTGTGCAGCTATGGCAAGACTTCCCAATTTTCATTCTCCCTTTCCCTTGCAATGAAGCCAAGACTCTACTTGCCTTCCTAATTACTTGCTGCCTTGCTGTACCTGCATGTCAACGTAATGTGACACTGAGCTCCCTCTCGACCACAGCAATCAGTAGTCTCTCTCCCTCCCTCGCTCTTTCTCTCTCTCTCTTTCTTTCTCTGTCTTCTTTAAAATAATATTCTGCTTTTTTGTCTTCCTTCCAAAGTGGGCACACTCACATTTTCCCACATTATACTTCTCTGGCCATCTTTTTGTCCACCCATTTATCCCTATCTATATCCACTTGTAGACTCTTTCTGCTCTCTCCAGAGTGGGGATCTGTCTAAAAAAGGGGCTCATAGTCAGGTAGCCTTGCTAGTACTCCCCCAGCTTCATAGTGAAGAGGTTCTGGAAGCCTGTAGCTATTCATAAAGCTGTTCCTAGTTAGCAGGAGGGATGTAGGAGGATTTGGGAGAAGGATTGAGGGCCGCTGTTGTTATATTTTGATCTTAAGGGTGTATTCTCACATCTGTGGTTCTTGTTTTTCCAGGTGACAGGCATTGTGGGGCGAGCAGATGTATTAGCTTGTGTCCTCTTCCTACTGGCTTTTCTCTCCTATCTTAGGTGGGTACAATCATTTTTCCATAGCACTAACAAAACACTTGTAGAGCTACCGGGTTTTTCAATATTAAAGTGGCCTTTTTTCCACCTTGTTTCTGTACATTGTGTTTTAGCTTCCCTTTTTAATGCTGTATCCTGGGAGTGATTAGTTGTTTTAAATGATACGCTATATCAGTTATGACATCAAACTTGCAATATTTTAAAATTTAATTCTCAAAGTCAGTATGGAAACACTGGAACACCATTACACCCAAACAGGAGCTGGGATTAGCCATTAAACTGCTTCTCCTGTCAGCTGGAAGTCATGGCCATAGTTCGAGTCTTAGAGATGTACAACACAGAAACAGACCCTTTGGTCCAACTCATCCATGCCGACCAGATATCCTAAATTAATGTAGCACCACTTGCCAGAATTTGGCCCATATCCTTCTGAACCCTTCCTCTTCATGTACCCCTCCAGATGCCTTTTAAATGTTGTAGTTGTACCAGCCTCCTCCACTTTGTCTGGCGGCTCATTCCATACACGCATCACCCTCTGCTTGAAAATATTGCGCCTCAGGTGCCTTTTATATCTTTCCCCTCTCACCTTAATCCTATACCCTCTAGTTTTGGACTTCCCTACCCTGGGAAAAAGAGCTTGGCTATTCACTTTATACATGCCCCTCATGATTTTATAAACCTCTATAAGGTCACCCCTCAGTCTCCAATGCTCCAGCTTATTCAGCCTCTCCCTGTAGCACAAACCCTCCAATCCTGGCAACATCCTTGTAAGTCTTTTCTGAACCCTCTCAAGTTTCACAACGTCTTTCCTATGGCAGGGAGACCAGAATTGAACACAGTATTCCCAAAGTGGCCTAACCAATGTGCTGCATAGCTGCAACATATCATCCCAACTCCTGTACGCAGTGCACTGACCAATAAAGACAAATGTACCAAATGCTTTCTTCACTCTCTGTGAAAGTAGCCCTGTGACATTCACCCAGTGTAAGCGAACTTCATTCTGTGGGCCTGATTTGGGGTCATTTGCACAAAAAGTGGAAAGCTAGGAGGCTTGCAGTCAGCTTGAATGCCTGGCAAATACCTGGTCAAGGGTTTGACTCCCATCCACCTAAGATGGCAAAGTACAGCTTGTAAGGATGAGACTGAGAAGCTGCCTTAAGCAAGGTGTTGACTTGATTCCTGTTGTGTGCTCACTCAGAAGTTAATAGGGAGGGTAATGTGGCATACATTGTTATTTTTCCACATTATGAGAAACAGTGTGACTAAGTTGATTCATGCTGCAGTTGTACCTCTGTTAATTAAAAATTACATAGAAAATCATTCACCTTGTCACTGTGGAATGAGCCTGATCTCACTACAGTGTGCATAAGTTTGTCCTACTCACTGGGGAGAGATACACAACTGTGGTATCCAGTTCATCAGCATAAATCCTCACACACCCAAAGTCCGACATTATGTAAAAGGATACCAAGAAGTAAAGGCAAATTTTTAATCTAATCCACGTGCAGTAAGAAACAGCATTGCCGAACCCAAAAAGCAGATTTGTAACTATTACAATTCTTTTATTTTTGGGTGCCAACCCAATTCTGAGTGTGCAGTGATCATAACTGAAGATAATACAGTTGATTTTATTCTGCTTGCTATCCATGTGAAGTCCTAGTATTACAAGTCAAACATTGCAGGTTTTTGCTAGTGGAAGAGTTTTTGCCCAACTCTCCCAAAAAAACACCTTTAATGCAAAAATTAATGCAATTAGAAAATAATCTTGTCATTGGAAAATGTTGGAGAGATGCCTGTTAAGAGAAAAGGTAGAATTGTAGAATTCGTACAGTGTGGAAGCAGGCCATTCGGCCCATCGAGCCCACACCGACCTTCAGAACAACATCCCACCCAGACCCACCCCTCTATCCCTGTAACCCTGCATTTCTCATGGGCAATCCACCTAACTTGCACATCTTTGGACTTTAGGAGGAAACCCACACAGACATGGGGAGAATGTACAAACTCCACATAGACAGTTCACCTGAGGCTGGGATCGAACCTGTCTCCATGGTGCTGTGAGGCAGCAGTGCTAACCACTGAGCCACCGTGCTGTCCCATGGCTTCATAATTTTGATTGGGCCATTTTTAATCAGAAGTGATGGCTGAACAAGAACCAGGGACTTGCTTGTCTCATTGTTACCAGTCTGTTTCCATCCTTTTTCCAAGAACCTTTGGATTTGTTTTGCTTCATTAACATACAGTATTGGGATGGAGGCTGCAGATAAACATAACTGTTGCACCAAGTGTTTGAAAATCTTTCTCCTCTTTGTAGGAGTGTGAACAGTACCTACATTGGAAAATGTTTTCCTCCAACCAGTTCTCCGTTCTTCCTGTTGCTAAGCCTGTTCCTGGGTACCTGTGCAATGTTGGTTAAAGAGACAGGCATCACTGTCTTTGGAGTGTGTCTTATCTACGACCTTCTCGTTCTGTGCTCTAACAGACTTCCAATGTAAGTTTTAATGAGTTTCTTATAAACCTGTGGCAAGTACTTAGCTTTTTTTTTAATCAAAGAGACACTCATTCACAAAAATAAATGTGCTATTGTTGAGCTATTACAAAGGAGTTTGCCAATTTTTGTCACATTGAAGAGTAAACTGGGGTTAGGATAGGAATACTCTTCTAGTTTTTGATTAAAATTAGTTGCAACTTGTTTTGTATTGTTTGCTGAAACGTACTTTGTCACGTACTATGCCATTTGTTATTTCTGGTTCTAGTATCGAGGACGACCTCAAGGAACTGAAAGTTGAAAAACCTACTCTATCTAGTTCATCTTCTTCCATCCTTGCACCTCCGATGTTACATAGCTATCAGGAAGTCATTGTTTTGCGCCGAAACCCTTTGTCCTAACGAAGGGTTTTGGCCCGAAATGTTGACTTCCCTGCTCCTCTGATACTGTCTGGCCTGCTGTGCTTTTCCAGCTCCACATTTATTGACTCGAGCTTCCAGTGTCTGCAGTCCTTGCTGTCTCCTGATAGCCACACAATTGAGTCAAATAGAATCCCAACAGTGTGGAAACAGGCCATTCAGCCTATCAAGTCCACCCTGACCCTCCAATGTATATCCCAGCTAGACCCCCCACCCTATCCCTGTAGCCCTGCATTTCCCAGGGCTAACCGACCTAGCCTACACATCCCTGGACACAGTGGGCAATTTAGCATGGCCAATCCACCTAACCTGCACATCTTTGGATTTGGGAGGAAACTGGAGCACCCGGAGGAAACCCACATAGACACGGGGAGAACATGCAAACTCCACACAGTCAGTCACCCAGGGGTGGAATCGAACCCGGATCCCTGGTGCTGTGAGACAGCAATGCTGACCACTGACAATTCATCGCATCTAATTTCTTAATTTAAATTAGAGCAGAAAGTATTTTTTTTTAGAATTTATTCAAGGAGTATGGGATTTTCTGGCTGGGCCAGCATTAATTGCTGATTCCCAGTTGCCTTTGAGAAGGTGGTGGTGAGCCGTGGCCTTGTATCACGTGCTGTATTTATGTCATGTCATTCAGGAAGGAGTTCCCGAATTTTGACCCAGTGACAGTGAAGGAACAGTGATGTATTTCCAGGTCAGGATGGTGAGTGGCTTGGAGAGGAACTTGCAGGTTCCAGTGTATCTGCTAACCTTGTCCTTTTAGATAGAAGTGGTTCTGTGTTTGGATTTCTGAAATGTTCCTTGTAGATAGTGCACGCTGCTGCTACAGAGCATCAGTGATGGAGGGAGTGGATGCTTGTATATGTGACGCCAGTCAAGCGGGCTGCTTTGTCCTGGATGGTGTCAAGCTTCTTGAGTGTTGTTGGAGCTACAGCCATCCAGGCAAGTGGGGAATATTCCATCACGCTCCTGACTTGTGCCTTGTAGAAGGTAGACAGGCTTTGTGGGGTGGTGGGGAATGGGTGGGATCAGAATGCGAATTACGTGCTGCAGGATTCCTAGCCTTCGGCCTACTCTTGCAGCAACAGTGTTTTTATAGGTAGTCCAGTTAGGTTTTTTTTATTCACCCCCTGGATGTGGGCGTCTCTGGCTAGGCCTGCATTTATTCACAACAACATGAGATGGCATGATGGCTCAGTGGTTAGCACTGCTGCCTCACAGCACCATGAAGATAGGTTCGATTCCACCCTCGGGCGAACTATGTGGAGTTTGTACATTCTCCCCGTGGCTGTGTGGGTTTCCTCCTAAAGTCCAAAGATGTGCAGGTTAGGTGGATTAGCCATGAGAAATGCAGGGTTACAGGGATAGTTAGAGGGGTGGATCTGGTTGGGATGCTCTTCTGAAGGTCGGTGTGGGCTCGATGGGCCAAATGGCCTGCTTCTACACTGTACGAATTCTACAATTCTATCTTTTGGGGCGGCACAGTGGTTAGCACTGCTGCCTCACAGCGCCAGGGACCTGGGTTCAATTCCACCCTCGGGTGCCTGTGTGGAGTTTGCACATTCTCCCCGTGTCTGCGTGGGTTTCCTCTGAGTGCTCCGGTTTCCTCCCACAGTCGAAAGATGTGCAGGTTAGGTGGATTGGCCATACTAAATTGCCCGTGGTGTTCAGGGTGGTGTAGATTAGATGGGTTATAGGGGGATGGGTCTGGGTGGCTGCTCTGGGGTTCGGTGTGGACTTGTTGGGCCAAAGGGCCTGTTTCCACACTGTAGGGATTCTATGAACAGAAGTTGCTGGAAAAGCTCAGCAGTTCTGGCAGCATCTGTGAAGAAAAAAAAATCAGAGTTAATGTTTTGGGTTCAGTGACCCTTCCTCAGAGCCGTTCTGTTTTTGTTCCTGATTTACAGCATCCGCAGTTCTTTTGGTTTTTATTAGGCTAGCGTTTATTGCCCATCCCTGATTGCCCAGAGGGCAGTTAAGAGGCAACCACATTGCTGTGGGTCTGGAGTCACATGTAGGCCAGACCAGGTAAGGATGGTAGTTTCCTTCCCTAAAGGTCATTAGTGAACCAGATAGTGCACCGGAGCCATATGGGAATAAGTGTAGGCCATTCAGCGCTTCAAACTTACTCTATCATGGTCTCAAATCCATGGTCTCTTCTCTCAGCCTCCCATAAACCTTGACTCCTTTGTTGATCAAATTTATCTAACTTGGTCTTGAATAACTTCAGTGACCCAATCTCCTGTCTTTCAGACTTACCCATTCACTCCTTTCTAATCTTTCTTTCAGGCTTTTTTTAAAACCACTTTTGATTTGCCCTCATCAAGTTTGTAAACTCCCTACGTAAGCTTGGAAGCTTCAAACTTGATACCTTCCCTTTTCTAAACCAAAAAAGTTCCAGCTGGTGGTCACAGATGAATTCATCAAAGGGCATGATGACCCAGTTTCATTTAGATTCCTGGATCACCTCCTGAATGCAGCATCCAAAAGGGCTGTGTGGGTCCTGCCAGTTATTAAAGTCAACATTAAGAGTCATGTTCAACCAGAGTCATGAGATTGGCAATAGCTTCCTTGATTGACATTCTGTTATCTGCTGTTAGGACTGAATGCTGTCATCTGTGCCCTGTTGGGGGATTGTCCTAGTCCAGTTACAATATGGAAACACTCGGAATAATTGTGCTCTGTTACCTTGCTGACACGGTAGATATTGCAGCTTGTATGAATGGGAAGCCAGGCAAAAATGGCATATCCAACCAACATGTCTACAGTAGCTGCATGCTCTGCCTGTGGCACCCAGCTACGTGAACCCTATTAGTAAAGAGGGGTTTGGTGGCTCTTTGTAACACTGGATCCTGGGCTCGTTACTCGGTAGGGTTTCTACAATTGAGAACAAGAGGTGACTTTTGACCTCTGGTTCCCCCCAGCTCTCCACCACTGGGATTTCCTTACATCATGTTTAGTGTGTCATACACTAATGGACAGAGATTGGCCAGTATGAGTGGTCAACCATTTCATTACGATTGTATCAGGTGACTAACCGAATGATAGAAGCTGTATTTGGTGGACTGTGGTCGTCTTTGTCCAGCAAGTCCTGAAGTGTTTCTTGTAAATGTTGGTTGCTTCTGGACTCATTTGGGATATCTTGGCTAGATTTGCTGCTTCCAAACTTCATTCCTGATATTGGTCTTGGCTACTGAAATCACTTCAGAAAGGATGTCCACTCGAAGTCGTAGATAGAAAGCAGACTCAGTCTTAGTCGACAGGATATGTCTTTGCATATTACTTAATAGCTAGTTGCATTGCACTGAAGATACAGGATGGTCTTTTGTGAGACATCAGGCTCAACTCGAGAGCAAGTTCAAGATACATTGATGCAAGATACATTTTCCTTTACATTACCCTTAAGATACATTACCCTTAAGAAGGGTCCCGACCCGAGACGTCAGCTTTCGTGCTCCTCTGATGCTGCCTGGCCTGCTGTGCTCCTCCAGCCTTACACTGTGTTATCTCAGACTCCAACATTGGCAATTCTTACTATCTCTACCTCCCAATGACGTTGCTTTCCTGTTGGTGACTGAAGGTCAACTTTTTCTGTCTGTCTTTTTGATAGTTCTGAGGCACTAACTGGGAACTTGAAGTTTGATGGCAGATGGCACCCATGTGTCCTTCCGGGGCCTCCTGTGTCCCCAGTTATTCCTGCCCACTCCATTGATCAGCGTCTGGCTTCCTCAAAGTGATTGTGATTGGGAAAGTCACAGTAGTGGAGAGGTGGTGCTGAAAATATACATTTTGTGTATATAGATAAATGAATCTAGTTGGATGTACACTAATGGTTGCAATTATCTGGGTGATTGGGCCCAGTGGGTTTCATGTTATGTGCTGCGTGGGTCATAGTAATTGTAAAGATTAATAGTCCAATCAAAACAGTGGAGGTACGTTTCACTTGCTGCATTTTGCTGGGATGTAGATCCAAGGGTGGGATTGCAGTGGTTGGCTGCGGGGATATGTGGATCAGTGTTCCCCATATGCATGCACACACACAGTCTCTCTTCCGGCCTCCTGTTAACCTTGGCTAAGGCTCACTGAGTTGTTTTTCATATCTTTGGACTCTCTTCTCATGGAACGTAATAGGAGGACTAGTCAGCAGCTTGATTGAGTGTAGCAGCTGCAGTCCACCTCTACCCCAAACCGTTCGAATATCAGCTGATGAGATGGCTTGTATGAACTACCATGATCATCAGAAATGCGTTTCTAAGAGAGCTGTGAGTGTTGGAGTAGCGTTTGACCTGTACTGTTGCTATCTGAGAGGCGGGAATCCTATCCTGTAGCCAGAAGCTTGTCCTTAGCTGAGTGGCATTACAATCCATGACTAGAGCACCAAAACTCATGTAACAACCTGGTTAGGGACTAGTACTTTATACTTCAAAGCAGAAAATGTGAGAACTCCAGAGACTTACTAAGAAAATAAAGTTAGAAGGCTCCACAGTTTTGACCAAACACTAATAAACACATACTACACAATGTTAAAACAGTCATATAATCTATAGTACATGTGCAACTTATTTCAGGCTTACC